AAGAACTAGAGGAAAGTTGTATGTTTCATCGTTGCTATACAGCACCCTGACTGGCTCATCTTTTTCACAGTATTATCAGAAACCCCACCCAGTTTCACCATTACTGTGACATCGGAGGCCGGCGAAAATAACAAAGCCGGGGAAAATAACAAAAGTAAGTGTTAACTAAAATACTCCTGGTTTACAACTACGCTTCTCCCGAGTGTCATTCGGTAGCCTTGGTGCCAGGCCCTGCTGGTGTGGAGGTGCCGAGGAGCTACTATGATTCTTGTCAATTCTTAATTGTGTGAACGTTGTTCCTAGAGAGAAAAGAGGAATAACAAGCTTATTTTTTAAAGCAGAAACAAATATTAATACAGGTAATGGAATAAGATAGGCGATATTTATGTAAAAATAACACTTTATGTACCAGCCTATTTCAGTGATCGTATGTTAGTCTGTGTCATTTTCTAATATTCACCTTTTCTCTTTGGAGAGATTGTGTAATGTGTATAGATGATCTGTTTTCATAAATGTGATGCGGAAGACCGCTGTCTGCATGCCTTTACCTCTTTAAAATGGATTTTATGCAAATGTTATTAAAATAAAAGCGTGAAGCCAGATAAAAACTGTTATACAACTATAGAACCAAGACAAATGTACAAATTGAAGTAAAGGAGCTCCTGGCTGTGACCAGGAAAGGAGCCCTCATGATACAGTGGTTGAGTGCTGTGATCAAAAGGACAGTGGTTCAAGCCCACCAGCTCTACTCCAAGGAGGAGGGAGGATCAAGGTTTGCAACCTTGGAAGTCCAGTAGCGTGTTTTTTGGCTTGAGGGTCCCTGTGAGTCACAATTGACTCAGTGTCAAGGAGTTCAGCTTATCCAACCAATAAATTAAAACTAAATTAAATGTGACAATATTGTTGGAGACTTTAGGTCTAATTTCACTTTTAATCGAGTTCATTTTTTTGTGGTTTTAATAATGTTATTTAAAAGTAGGATAAATTGCCATCAACAACCTGAAGGATTTTTCCCTCTTCCTGATACCCATTGTCTTTGAATCACTTCTGACTCCTAGCAGTGCTATGAAATACAACTGCCTCATAGACTTTCCAAGGCTATACATTTTTATAGAGGCATATTATTTTATTATTCTCTTGATTCCTCTAGCCTAGCAGCCAAAATTGAATCTTGAGTAGTTAATAATTGCCAATTTCATTGATATCACTTATGAACTCTAAATCTGCATTGTGTGCAAAGGAAAATGAGGTTATCTTTGAAGTATTCTTAAAATCTGAATTTAAGGGTATTAAGTACAGTGATTTACTACTAAACTAATATGTAATAAACTCTTGTAAGATTGCACCTTAAAACACACAGTACATTAAAGCTTAAAATAAATATTGTGCGAACTACTCTTTCAGGTACTGAAAACTTTCACTATTCAAAAGAGAAAAACTTGGGGGCGGGGTCTGAGCTCCTCTAACTCCTCAAGGGGGAAGGCCCAACACCAGCAGCAGCAGCAGCCCAAAGCCATTTTAAGGTTAGGTGTGCCCCACCCTCCAACCTTACACATACCAACCAGTCATCTGCTCGGGCACGATCTGCTTCTCAGTCGGGTTCGATAATTCATCACAGCTCACAGTGGCCACACAGAACCCACAGACAGTGCGACAATTAAGGAGTTTATTATGGAGGTTGCTTATCGGGTGAAAAATACTCAGGATACAGTTCAGTCAGGGCAGTCTCCTCTGCCATGCCTGCTGGCAGTCCTTTCTCAGCTTCAGGTGGTACTTGGCCTCCTCTCATGGCGAGGGGAAGGGCTTCCAAGGGTGGCTGCGGTCATGCTCTCTCCCCGCCATGTAGTACCTACAGCAAAATGCTGACAGACAGTGAACGGATTTCTCCCACAGGGAGTGACTTGTTGCTATTCCCACGATTTGTTTTCTCTTTTGCTGGCATGGGTTTGACATTTGTTTCAGTGATTGTCCTTTTGGCGGTATAATAGCTGTGCTCTATTTTCATATGGAAGTCTGGGCCCTTTTTAAATGACACATTATTAAATTAATGATGCTTCAACAAAGATGTTGACCTTGTTAATTTTGCGTTTTAAATGACCTTAGCTGTCCAGACTACGCTCAAGTTTACGTACAGTGAAAAATACCCAGACGATGCTCCTCTCTATGAAATATTCTCACAGGAAAATCTGGCAGAAAATGATGTTGCAGACATTTTAAAATTACTAGCATTACAGGTAAGAAAAATTATTTTATGTTTTCTAGTGGTGCTTTGTTATGGACTTTCAATATAATACATTAATTCCAAGGGAAATCCTATCAAAAATGACTGAATCGTACATTAACCAAACAAAACTCAGGCTTCATAATCAAAGAGCAGCCCTATTTTTATCTTGCTGCCCCTTTAACATCTGAACAGAAGTTGTCCCCAACCCTGGTTGAAACACTGTCAGCCCCAAGACCTTTCTGCTCACTCTGGAGTCACAGAATTTCCCACAGATAACTTGCACACACTGTTCTGATTTTTGGTTCTTAGAATATATAGCCCCATGTGCAGGTAAAAATTCCAATTGTTGTAAAAACTAAGACTCTTACTCTCTGACCTACTGTGTCTGCAGTCTAATAAGAGGATTAGTGGAGTTTGTTTGTTTCCACTATCTGTTTTTTCTCAGTTTACAGACAACCACTGGTTTCTGGCCTCTCCAAGATTGGAGATGATTGTATAGGAGAACAAATAGATACAGGAAAGTTTGTACTGGACTAGTTGTGTGGGAGGAAGCTTATGGCAGTTAGACACAGTCTGGTGTGGCTCCAGGACTAGCAGCCCACATATCAAGTCCCAGGTACGTGGGGACTTGAAGACCCGGAGGCTGTTCCTGCCACTCAGACAGCAGGAGAGTGAACCGTACCCATTAATAGTTCTTGCTGGAGATCTTCCCACAAATCCTCTCTGTGGTCTTACATCCTCTGTGTGTTAAGGACTGTGACAGTTATGTAACTGTCTTTGAAAAATTGTGTTTGGTTCCTTGCTTTGAATACCATATCTATTTTTCTTTTTTTGGTGCCTCGGTCAAAATTGATAACTTATCATACATATGTTTTATTATAGATAATGCTGTCTGTATACTTTTTTACATGTAAATAGATTTGGTTTTACTTTTATTTTTTAAAATTTTTTCATGGTCATTTTATTTTATTTTTTTAATTAAAAGATAATTTTATTGGGGGCCCTTACAACTCTTACAATAATCAATACATCAATTGTTTCAAGCATATTTGTACATGTGTTGCCATCATTCTTTTCTTGACATTTACTTTTTATTGAGCTCTTGGTATCAGCTCCGCACCCCTTGATAAATTATTGTTATTATTTTCATGTCTCACACCAGTCACTGTCTCCCTTCCCCCACGGTTTCTGTTGTTCTCCCCCTGGTGGCAGGGGCGGGGGTGGGGGTATTGTATGTCGGTCATTGCGATCAGTTCCCTCTTCCTTCTCTCCGTCCGCGCCCCATTGGTACTGCTATTCCCATTCCTGTTCCTGGATTCCTGTGTCCCGAGCTCTTATCTCTTACCTGTACCTGTGCACGTGCTCCGGTCTAGTCCACAGTGAGAGGCAGCACTTGATAGGCATTATCTGTTATGGCAGAAGAAAGATGATATCTTTTTTTAACCTAACTTAGTGACTCGACCAGTTCCCCCATTAGACTGAATAACGTAGCATTTACTTAAATCTCTCTTCAACGTTCTTATAATTCATCCTTCCTCTCTTGGATTTCCTTTTTCTAGGATCTCATGTCATCTTTTGTTGTTAATCCTGGTTTTTTTTGGTAGTAACATTCTCCAGTAGGTCCCTGAAAGGAATGTATAAAAGAACAAGATGTCTAATAATTGTCAATTGTGTAATAATTGTCAAGGAATATAGAATTCTTGCTCAAAAATATTTTTCCTTTGTTTTGAAAGCATTACCTTAGCTATCATAGTTGATGTCGAAATGTCGATTGCGTCAGAATCTCGGGAGCCGTGACGAGGTAGTGAGTTATAAGTTGGGTTGCTTCCCTCAAGGTTGGTAGCTCAAATCCACCAGCTGCTCCATGGGAGAAAGATGAAGCAGTCAGTTCCCTAAAGAAACCCTAGGGGACACTCCTATTCTCTAATGGTAGCTATGAATTGTAATTGTCTCCACTTACTTGGTTCTGGTTTTATTTTGATTCTCAATGCACTGTGTGTAATCATGCTCTCTCTCTCTAGCGTGCGCGCTCTCTCTTATTGAAAGCTTTTATGATTTTTTTCTTTTACCTTGGGATTCTGAAATTCCTTGATGGTGGGCCTTGTTATAAGTCTGTTTTTATTCATTGCAGTGAAATCTTTCAGTCTAGGAAATTAATGTTATTTTATTTCTGAAAAATTTATATATTAAACTGATAAGAACAGATACTACACTTGATCTTAGCCAAGTGGTGTGAGTGGCGAAACAGGGAGGGTAAAGGGAGAATGGGTAGGAAAGAGGGAACCGATAACAAGGAACTGTATGTGACCTCCTCCCTGGGGGACAGACAACCGAAAAGTGGGTGAAGGGAGACGTCGGACAGGGCAAGATATGACAAAATACCCATTTATAAACTATCAAGGGCTCATGCGGGAGGGGGGAGCGGGGAGGGAGGGGAAAAATGAGGACCTAATGTCGGGGTTTAAGTGGAGAGAAAATGTTTTGAGAATGATGTACAAATGTGCTTTACACAATTGATGTGTGTATGGATTGCGATAACAGTTGTATGAGCCCCTAATAAAATGTTAAAAAAAAAAGAAATAAATACTTCACAATATAAAAAAAAAATTATATATAAGTATATATAAATGTAAGTTATTCCCTCAGTTTCCTCTGGAATTTCTATTAATTGTGTGTTGGATTGCCTTTGTGCTATAGAATTGATTTATATAATCAATATTGGCATTTTAAAAACACCTGTACCTATTAGCAAAGTAAGAATGAAGTGCGATGTATCAGGCAGGAATTCGCAGTGCTCTTGGGCCCTCTTCTCTGTTGCGCACTGTGAATGCGCTCACTCCAGCATCGTTTGGTTTCTCAGGCCCTGTTTAGAACGTGGCACAGAGCCGGGGTGGCTGTGCTGTCTTCAGTCACATCTTAGTGTAAAGTATTCAGACCCATGCATTTTTTCTGTTTTTAATATTTAGAGTACGACTCGTTCCTTTCAAAAAGGCAGTCTTTATTTTTTATATCTGAGGTTAGATATTTGAGGGAATATTTGTATTTTTTCACCAGTAATAGCTGTATTAACTTTACAAAATCATAAAAAGAAAACAATATTGAGAGTTGGGGGAAACCCTCAAAATAATGAAGAAAAAAGATTGCTTTAATTCTCTAACCAAGTGTAATGATTCACACATTTGTGTGATTTTATCTCAGACAATTTTTTGGCAACTTTATATTCAAACACAAATAGCTCCAAAAACACATCTTGCAATCCACCCCTACCCCCCACTGCAACCCCCATTCTTGGCTGTTGAATATTTGAGATCATATAGCTTGGCTTGTGGGTAATGGATTAAAATATCAGGGAATTTTCTCTTGAACTTTTAAAAGCCTCCCTTTAATTCTTTGAACATGTCACACTACTTGTAAGTCCGTACAGCAGCATAGCGTCTTCATTGAGTGCTTAGTGCTTGGCACGTAGTAGACATTCAAGTGTTTGTTGACTAAATGAAAAAGGTGAATTGCTGATAAGTGTACTAATTTAGTGTTTTTGAGAGCAGACCTTTGAGATTATGGGATACACATACGTCTTTTGTATTTTCTGACCTGTCAGTTTGACCTCTGCAGCATGGTTGTGCTAATTTGTGATCAAATTAGCCCTTGAGAAGCTTGTTTGCCCATGTTTGCTAACACTAGATGTTCCCATTTAAAAAGAAGTGTGTGTGTGTGTGTGTGGGGGGGGGGGATGACAAAGTATAACTAGTGTCTAATTCTAATTCTTCTTCCTTAATTACCAATTCCCCAAAGCCAAACTCATTCATTGCTTTTCAGTCAGTTCCAACCCATAAATCTTTCTAAAGGATCAAAGAACTTCGTATATTTCAGATTTTCATGTGAGTGACATTATTTTTCTATTGGAATATTAACTTCAAAAATCGTTTTAAACTAGACCCTGGGTAGAGTAGATGTTTTAAGAAGAGACCATATAATTTAAGAGTTTGGGGAGTAGAGGGTTTTTTCAACTACACTTTTAGTATAGTGACCACCACAAATACCACAGAAACCTCTGCCTTCGTTGACTTTGCATTCTGTGAGAAATTATTTTTACATATGGGAATTTGATAACAGGAATGAGAAGATCATATAGCTTTAACAGATCATGCAGGAGTTTCCTCTAATATTCCAAGCTAACGATGCCATTCTCTTTGGCTAGAGCAATAACAAGATTGATAGAGAACAGAGGAAGAAATTGATAATTAAGAATCACGGAAGAGGAATAGTAGTTGAGCTTATGGTGGGATGGGGTGTGATTAACCTTGGTGTGTTGCTCTGAGATAGATACCTTGGGAAGAGAATTTGTGGAGAAGATTATAGTTTCACAATGCAGGTACCTGAATGTGTCTGGCAGCCAGTTTTAATTTGGAGAGAGGTTTGTCTAGAGCAGGGCTGTCAAACTCAATGAAAACGCAGGCCATGTGGTACAGCAGGCAAGATGCACGCGGACCACATCACCTTGACAAATTTTGTTAAATTTATATTTTGAAGTGAGGATTCAGGAATATGGATAGGATAATTAAAACACCATATAATTGGTTTTATTTAAACATTTATTTAATGTATTTATAAAACTAAAATTATTCTTTTTTACCCGAAACTTGCCAGCACTTTCCTCCTACTAGTTTTCACTTACCTCTTTATGTTGTGACCAGAAAATATACTAAAGTAATTAAAAACACAAAATGTTGGACAGCTGACAAACCTGCACAATCGTAATGGCTTCCCTCTAAAAATGCTAACTAGCGCTGCCACTAGGTATGATTCATAACAGCACCACCCAGAGTGCTCTTTTGAACCTCTTCACTATTGGGATCTGTTTACGTTGGGTGACACTGAGAGTGGCAGACAGATCACTTCCAAACGTCGCCGGAACTGAGTCAGCGCGTTGATACACGTTCACAGGCCCCCAGGAAACGCACTGGGCCACGTGTACACTAGTCTTCAGTAGTTAAAGGGTTAACGAGGGAATTGTGTGTACAGTATTGCCTCAATCTCCCCTAAGTGCTATTTTCTTCATAACAATTTTTTCTATTTTCATTTTATTTCAGAGCATTGCAGGCTACAAAAAATTACCTTGTGGGCCGCATGCGGCCCTTGGGCTACCAGTTTGACACCCCTGGCTTAGAGTAACAGATCTAGGGTTTTTAGCTTATAAACACGATGGGCATGGCCTCGTGAGGAGAGTTAGAGAATTCAACTTCAAGTCTAGAACACAGGGATGGCCTAGGAGACAAACCACCCACTCAAGTGCCGCCGAGGTCAGCCTTGACAGCGCAGTGCTTGAAATAGCTGCCTTGGAAATGGTATATCGCTCTACTTCTAGGACCAAGATTCAGGCTGGTATACTTTGAAATTATCTTTCTGCTTACATCCTTGCATGCTATCATGGAGAGCCAAAATATATTGTGTAACTTCTTCTGCCTTCAACATCTGTCAATTTTCAAGTAGACTTTAAAATTATAATAACCCTTTCACCAATCTGAGATATCGTACATTTACTATTAAACCATTTCAAATTAGAAAGAAAGAAAAGGTAAAAATGAATGATGAAAGTATGTATATTTCTTATATAAATTAGAATATCCTATTGGGTCTCAAAGTTCAGTTCATTTTCAGAGCTCAGAAGGCACAAATAGATAGAAGGTACTAAAATGCTAAAATATGTTGGTTGGTAAACTGATCTTACTAGTGAGAAGAGATGTTCTGAGTTTTACCTTCATTGTTACTGAACAAAACTTACTGGAGTATCTAGGTTAGGTACAACAAATTAGTCACATGACATGCATATAATCCTTATTCATTCACATGCTTAGGTACCAAGAACTACTAGTTATTTGAAGCAATGTAACCACTATTTGAAAATGGAGGATGTTTACAGATCACAAAATGGAGGCTGACTAGTTCATATAATGGCCAAACCACTGAGAATCATGGTCCAGCCAAGTTACCAGAACCTTAATCATCACAGTCAGTGTTGCGTCACCCTGGCGTCCACGAGTGTAGACATTGTTAATGTGGAAAATAGTGAGACAGTAGGTTTTTCACCGTTGTTGTATATGTGAAAAGCTGGATAAGTGAGGAGTGGTGTATAAAATACCATTATGCTAAGCCCAGGAGGCACAGTTAAATGCTCAGCTGATAACTGAAAATTTAGCACGCAGCAAGATTACATGAGAAAGACCAAGTGATCTACTTATGTAAGTATGACAGCTGAGTTCTGCTCAGACATGTGGGGTCTCTGTGAGTGAAAATTGATACCATGGTAGCTAACAACAACAACAATCAACATAATCTAATAACTGAACTAGTAACCATTTTACACATGTCTTGAGTTTAGTAATTATGCATAAATACTTTAATTCATTAGTTTCATTTTTTTCTGAGAAGTATCTTTCTCAACACATCTTTTAATTTGGTCACATAGGCAGAAGAAAACCTTGGCATGGTAATGATCTTTACTCTAGTATCAGCTGTGCAAGAAAAATTAAATGAAATAGTAGATCAAATAAAAAGTAGAAGAGAAGAAGAAAAGAAACAGAAAGAAAAAGAAGCAGAAGAAGCTGAAAAGGTACATTAAAAAGTCTTGTATTCTTAAATTATTTAATGTTTTCTTCCATTTGGAAATTTCAGCGGTCAGATTTTGCTAACTTGAGGAAATTTTATAAGTCTCTTAATGTTGTTGATGGCACAGCAAGAGTGACGAATCACTTAGTAAAAGACTCATGCAATTAAGACCAAGGAATATATGTACTTATGCAGTGGATTTTCACCTAAGATACATATTGACAATTAAATGCCACTCTCTAGAGTGATTTAAATATTTACTGAATGTAAAGGGAACCTCCGATTCTGAGATGAAGCAAGGAAATTAAGCTCTGCTGTTCCAGTTTAATGAGTGTGTATGCAGAGTGCCAGTATTAGCCAACAACAATGAGAAGAAAATGTTCTCAAATTGGTTGTGGTGATGTGTGTACAACTCAGTGTGATTACGTGATTAAATTGTATGATGCATGAAGTGTATGTCCATCAATTTTTTTTTTATGTCAGTACTTCTGGCAACAATTTTTCTCTTGAATAGCGATGAAGAAACACAGCATATTATCTTTGTTGAAATAAGAATCAAAAATAAACTTCAAAAGAAAGTTAATTACCAAATTCAGTGAGAGTAGCTATCTATGCAGGTAGAAATCAGACTAAATATTTCAAAGCTTGAAACATTAATTTCCTGTTTCTTTTGAAGGAATTACATTCATTTATTTTAAAAGATATCATTAGGCTTTATTTTTAAACTGTTTTCTCACTTATTTGATGATTTACATTTTCTCCCCTCCTTTTTATTAAGCAACTGTTTCATGGCACTCCTGTTACAATTGAGAATTTCTTAAGTTGGAAGGCCAAATTTGATGCGGAGCTCTTAGAAGTGAAAAAGAAACGAATGAAAGAGGAGGAGCAAGCAGGAAAAAATAAATTAAGTGGTATGACGTCTCCCTCCTTCCTTCCTTGCCCGTCACCTCCTGTGTAGAGTGAGTGTCATTTGGACAGAGCACTGTAAGAAAACAGTATACTTAGGGATTTAGGACAACAACGGAAAACTATTTGGTGGTAGTTTTTCCGTATATGATTAATATTTAATTTTTACAGTTATCTTCAATAAAAATGTTGCACCTGGTAGATGCTGAAATAAGAAGTAACAGTGCTCGGTATACTTGCCTCCGGGGTAGAAGAGTCAACCTCCTCTGTCTCTGTTAGGACGCTAAGAAGGCTAGGCTTTCTCGCTCCATTTTAATACAAACACATTTTAAATGCATGCCAGCCACCTCGTTAGCTTATTCGTTTTTGAAATTCACTGAAACACATAGGCTTTCAGCCTTGTTTTCTTTTCTGTGTACTTTTTAAAGGATTGGAGGAAAGATGAAGGAATACTTTGCCATTTGAATTAAACATTTGTTTCTTTTAGGGAAACAACTATTTGAAACAGATCATAATCTTGACACTTCTGATATCCAGTTCTTGGAAGATGGTAAGAAAATATTAGAATTTCACATTTGTAAATGTGCTATCTTTAATTTTAAACTGAAAATTCAGCAATAACTACTTAATGTAAATTTTTTTTATTGAGACTACGCATTAAAAATTTAAATGTCTAAATTTTGTATGAGTCATTGAAAGTGATCATTTTATTCATTTTAAACTGAAAGTCATGTGATAACTATGTTTGAATTTTTCTGATCAGTAAGCAACATCAGAAGGGCCCTAGTGGTATAGTGTTATATACTTGTTGGATGGCTAACCGCAAGGCCAGCAGTTCAAATCCCCCAGCTGCTCAGTGGGGAAAGATGAGGCTTTCTATTCTCATAAAGAATTATACCTTGGAAACCCTCCGAGACAGTTTTATCCAGTCCAGTTGGGTTGTTGATGGTCGGAATCCACTTGGTTGCAGGAAGTTTTTTCTTTTGATTGATTTTTTGTTTGTTTGTTTGGATTTTTTTAAAGCAACTTCAGCAGTAGCAGCACTCTGGCCTTCCCCGACTGTCTTCCATGTTCACAGAGCTTATAGAACCCTCACTCTGAAACTCCATATATATCCTCTAACCAAACAATCTTACCTTTTCTGCTAGTCTCTGTCCTTGAAGCTCTCTAGTCCCAGGTGCTTTTCTTCTCTTCTTTTTCTCTTAGCCCTTACTCACTCCTTTCTTGCCAACCCCCTCCCCCCTTCATCTCTCCACAAATATTTATTAGACCCCTCACTGTGAGCTCACGGAGCCCTGGGCACTGTGGGATAGGCATCGGGCTGTTAACCACAGGGCAGTGCTTCAAACCCAGGAGCTAGTTCTCAGGAAGAGGAAGAGGCCTTTTGTTTCACAAAGATTTACAGTCTTAGAAACCCAAATAGCGGGTCCACTTTGCCTTGTATGGTCACAGACTGGCTTCCTGGCTGGTTTTCATTTTTATTTTGTTACTTTAGCTAAGCACTGTTCGACCACTATGGATATAGCAGAGAACTGTACAGAGCCTTGCATTGCCCTTGGGCAGCTCTTAAACAGGGCCCTATATCCAGCCATATGCCCAATAGCACATTAGAGTGATGCATGTTCATTAACCTTCCGTTAGACCTAGCTTTCCAATTGGGAACTCTGACTTTGAAACTTCCTTGTCACTTACATTATTACTTCCTGGAGAAAATGAAGAAACCGCGTTGTTGTGGCTCACTGCGACATCCTGCTTACCTGAGCTGGGTCCTTCCTGACTGATAGTTGGCGTTATTTATTTGCTTACTATTATTAGATTCTATGTGAAGCTGCTCTAGTTTTACAATCTGCCTTGTGCTGCTGTACTAGAATTACCACATGTGGATGACTTTAAAGAGAAGACATTTATTTTCTCACAGTGTTCTGGAGGCTAAAGTCCACATCAGGGTCTTGGCCATGTGGCTTCCTTCCATGAGACTCCCTAGTTCTCAATTCTGCCCGGGCTCCGTGGCATCAGTTCACTTGCACAGAGTCCTCACACGCCATCCATGTGCCCCTCTCAGCATCTGTCTCTTGTCTGGATGCTATAAATCAGAAGTGATTATGTTCAGGATCCCCACCACACTGGTAATACCACATTAACAACATCAGAGAATCCTCTTGCCAGACAGTGTTGTATTTACAAGTGCAGGGGCCAGGACTTCCACATATCATTTTTGGTGGGGACACATTTTAACATATAATAGTCTTTCAACATTCCAAAATATAACAACAAAGATAGTCCTTTCTATCCCCTGCTCCATTTAGGAGCTCATCTCTCTACCTTTGAAGTGTTTATTATTTCATTCTTTTTCTTATATCCTTTTTCACTGAGAAACTAGATCCGAAAAGAGTCACCTTTCTTGCACTTTAGAAGTTTTTCCTATCTTCATGCATTCTTGACTTTTTTCCTGTTTAATGGCTCCAGTATCTTCGGGTATTCAAGTTACCAAAAGCTTCCTGTTGATTCTGCCTCAGAAATGTCCTCCCAGCTCTCCTCTCCGAATTTGAGAATTTCATTCATTCATCTGTTCATTCATTCATGCATTCATGTATTCATTATGTTTGGCTGCACTTTTGCTGTAGACTCCCATTATCTACCTACATCACTCCCTTTCTCTGTCTAGGTCCCTTATCTACCAGTCTATGAGGGAGCTTCAAAAAATATGTGGAAAAATAGAATTAAAAGTATAGAATCCATGAACTTTTTGAACCCCCCTTGGATAGTCACAGCCTCTGACGTGGCATTTATAAAGTTCATATTTAATCAGTAATTTCCCTCCTCAAATTCCTTTGATGGTTTTGTACTGCTTAGAGGAAAGTTTGATCAACATTGTGATTCTCAATCTGGCCCCAAGATGCTACCTTCAGGCATTCTTCCTTAGGAATCCTCTGCTCTCCTCTCAACATTGCATCTACTCGGCCTGAATTACTCCCTTCAAGACCCTTTCCTCTTGGTGCATTCCACCTTATCCTTAAGGTATTTCAGAGGTTATTTGCTCTGTGAAACTCTCCTATTTCTCCCAAACGGAAGCAGCTATTCTGTGATCGGGGCTTAGTAAATGGTTGTTATTCTTAAACCCTTCGTAAGCATTAAACAAGAACCATTCTTACCTCTTCCCCTGAAGTTGAGTGGCAGTGAACTGGAGTGGGAAAGGGAAGGAAGATGCAACACTTAGTGGTGGTTTAAGAATGCTGAAACACCAGACCTTCATCCACTGCAGCTGAATTGAAGAAGGATGATATTGAGTGCACACTGAGTCTGCATCTGGGTACCGCTTCCCAGTAGGGCTTAGATATTTAGAATGTTGAAAAGACATGCTGTTACTGGTTACTATGAGAACTGGGAAAGGATGAATGAAAAGTTTAAATCTTTAAATTAAATACAATTCATCCTTGGAAGCCTGCTTTTAAAACCTGGCTTTTTAGTTTTGGAACTGAAAGCTTGTGGTTGCTCTAAAGTGTCTGTTTCTTTCTTGACCAACATAGATCATTTTGCTTCGCAGTGGTAGCTTGGGATTGTAGCACTTGTCTCACATGTGCATCTCTGTTTGGTACTGTCAGTGGGGTGTTTTGTTTATTCCTGAGCATAGACTGAATTTGAAATCTGTTTTTACTTTTGTAGCTGGGAATAATGTGGAAGTCGATGAGTCTTTGTTCCAGGAAATGGATGATTTGGAGCTCGAGGAAGATGAGGACGATGCAGACTCTCCTGCTGCTGCTGCAGAGAGTGACTCAGCCGACTGAAGCCCGGCCCTCTGCAGAGTGCGCCGGCCGCCGCGCCTGTGCCGTGCCAGAGGGCTGTGCTTTCCTTCCTTTTTCTAAGAAAAAGCCACTTTCAGGACAGTATGCTTCTGATCACGTTCATCACCGAACTTAATAAACTGAGTATGAAATTTAAATGTGAACGTTTAGTCTCTCTTCCGGATAGAAAGTCATCTCCTGAGAACCACTTTGTGTTGGAGAGAGATCCGGCCTGTGGCATCAAGGCTCTGAAAGAGGCTGCTGCTGTGCGCACACGCGGGTGTACGTGCAGGGCCTTGTAAGAACTTGCAGTGTCCTTCCCGGATGCGGTGCTTGTTTGGGATTCTGTGCTGTCACTCGTAAAGTATTAGCGGGCTGAGTGGAAGCCTTTAGGCAGAGTACATTTTAGGTTGTAACAAAACCATACCCCGTATTATAGCCAGGAATACAATTTTAGTCTTATAGTATTATTTCAATCTTAATCTTGTAGGCTATAGACATATTTGGATCAGAGTCATCGGGATTGTTTTTGTTTTCCAATGTGCACTCCTTGGCTCATCTCAGGTTAGAATCATAATCGCACTCCAATCTGAATTTTAAAATAGCGGAACCTCACATACCTGCGCCGTGGTATTTCTGCTGCCCGTTTCTAGAAAAGCACCGCCGTCCTACAGTTGTGAAAGTGTGCAGTCTGTGTGCTTGTGTTACCCTTCCTCTTTCTAGTGACCTCGTCTGAAGCATCTGCATTGTGGGGGTCGGTACTGTTTGTAAGAAGAGCCATACGTCTACACCTGCTTCCTTATGAAACCTTTGTGATACTTTTGAATGTCTGACAGAGGCCAGGGAGGAGAGCCAGGCTTGATGTAAGTTAATGTAGTCACTGCAGCTTTTGAGGGTTGAATCTATTCCTACAGGAAATTGTTTACAAAACTCTACTCACTGTCACCGAGTCAATTCTGATTCATAGCCACTCTCTATGTGTCACCTGGGCAATACATTCTTACCTCTACTCGTCACATCCTCACACACACACAAATATCAACTCCACATTTATTATCAGCGTCTGCTATTATGATGAAAATACATTTCAGGTGAATTGAAACATCACTAGGGAGTTAAAACTTTCCAAGGAATATTAGTAATATTAATCATTTCTCTGCTGAGAGAATTCCTAAAGCTTATGTTTTGTCACGGAACCTAGAAGTTGCAAAAGGAAAACAGAAAAAAAAGGATGGGTGTGCATTGCGATGCTGAGGTCACAGAACATTTACCCCTTAAGGAGTTAAGATGGGTACTGTCTCCCTTACATCATAATTTATATGTTTTTAAAAAATAAAATAATAATTGCTTTAGAAAAAAATTAAAGGGAATTATCCTAATGTTGAAAATTGACTTTAATATTCAGCTTTCTCAGAATAGGTTTTATATATTTCCTCCAGAATGGTATAGAAAAGGCAGCATGGTGGGCTCTCATGACAAGTATTTTCATCCTGAGGGAACATTTACTCTTGACTCGCGTTCTGTGCATTAACCAGACTGCTTCTCACATGATGCGCACTCCTAGAATGTCCAGGAGGGAGCCTGCTGGTATTCATGAATTTGGTGTATCTTGGATTGCCAGTTTTGCTCTTAGATTTTAGAAGACTTCTCTTTTTCCGTCTAGTTGTATGAGATACTAGGTTAAACACCACACAAATGTGTTTCCTTGTTGATCACTGTAAGAAGGCCAGCCACAGAGTAGGTGCTGTTAGGACTAAAGTGTGTCAACAGAAAGTGCACACTGGCGAGGCCAGGATTCACAGGATTATGTAATTGTCCTTCATTTTGTGATCTGATGTGATCATCCTATGGGTTGTAAATTATCCCAACTTCTATGATGATAATGTGGCAGAATTAGGAGCAGATATAATAATGAGGTAGGATAAAGTCTACAGAATTAATTATATCTGAAATCAAGATACAGATCAACGGGCCTGCCTACCACCAAGAAAAAGAGTCCAGAGCAGAGCACATCGTTTGCACCAGGGCTTCTTGCACTGAACCTCCTAAACCCACAGGAAGATTGATACCAGCATGCCTGGAGATCACACAGGGCCCACAAGATTGATAGGAGATGTGAACCTTCCTGAGAGCTGACAGAAAGCTTCCCCTACAGCTATGCTCTGAACTTGGACTTTTCACATTCTAAAATGTGAGAACAAATTTGCTTGTTACATCCATCTGCTTGTAATGTTTCTGTCATAAGAGTACTAGGTAACTACGATAAAACAAACCTCGTGCCATGGAGTTGATTCTGACTCACAGCGAGACCCCATAGGACCAATTAGAACTGCCCCTGTGGGTTTCCTGTAATGTAATTCGTGGCAGGAGGAGAAAGCTAAGATAGGTACCTAACAAGTATCTGTTGAATCAGTGGTTCATGGAATAAAAAAATCAAACTTCCTATCATTGTATTGATGCCAACTTACAGCGACCTCATAAGACAGGGCAGACCTGGCCCTTTGGGTTTCTGAGACTGCAACTCTACAGACAGAAATCCTCATCCTTCTCCCACAAAGCTGCTGCTGGTTTCGAACTCCTGACCTTCTAGTTAGTTATCCAGCACATAACTACTATAACACCAGGGCTCCCAATTTATGGAATAGGGTACAAAATGCCCATGAATTAATTTTTAGCTTACGTAATCCTAGGTTACATCATGCTCTTTTGTCAGTAGGGATGCCTTAAGGGAGAATACATTAAAGGCTGACTTAGGGCAGTAAACCAAAGTGACATGAACATTGTCCAGCTGGTGTAAAGCCAGGGGGAGCAGTGAGTAACTTGTTGAAGAAAAGGAGTTCACTGAAGTCACTGCTTCAGAGACATGTGCGAAGGAGCCAAGAAGCATTTTTTGAATTCCCAAAAAGTAATTGTGGTTTTTCAATATTTATATACTAGCCTTTGCTTTTGTGCTCCCCCGCCCCACACTCCCCTAGCCTTTGTTAAGGGAGGAACCCTGGTGGCATACAGGATTATACATTGGGCTGCAGACCAAAAAAATGTGATTAGTTCAAAACCACCAGCAACTCCTTGAGAGAGAGCTTTCTACTCCTGTAAAGATTTAGAGTTTCGGAAACCCAAAGGGGCAGTTCTACTCTGGTATTGGGTCACTGTGAGTTGGACACAAGTGTTTGGAAGGAGTGTAGGACTGGGATAAGACATTGTTCGTCCTTCACATGGTATATGGACAGTCCCACTGCTGTCGAGTTGATTCTGATACAGCAACCCTATAGGACAATAGAAATGCTCCAAAGAGGTTTCTGAGGATGTGAACCTGTGGGAGCATCCAACCCCATCCTTCTAGGAGCACTTGTTGAGTTTGAAATGCCAACCTCTTGGTTAGCAGCCTGGGACCTTACCCACTGTGTCACTTGTGCTCCTGAAACTGGTCCGCCAAGTACACCTCTCGAAAGAAGTCTGTGTGAAGAGAAAGGATCCGATCTTTTGGTGTGACCAGCTACTCTTCAGATAATGGTGGTAGAATCTTCATAGGCAGTTTTTGGTGACAGGGGTGATTGTTTTGGTATTCTGGTGTAGGAGCACACCCTTGAGTCTAAGCCTTGTCGAAAGGGTTGTATTTGAAGCTTGAGCTTCATTGTTCAAGAGGTGGAGCCATCGATGGCTAGAGAAATTGTTGTAGGTTCTGACTCATAGCAACCCTGTGTGCAACAGAAGAGGCCTGTGTAGTTCTGCGGTGGTGAGTGGGCTCTGTGGGCCCAACAAAGAACAGAGGGCAGTAGGCAAAAGGCAGACTGGTATTCTGAGGAAGCCTGCCTTTAAAGTCACTAAGATGTGGGCCTGTGACTGAAGGAGAATCCGAATAGTATCCTGTTGGTGTTAAGAATTAAAGACAGCTTTACTGAAACTTACAAGAGCCCTTGTGGTGTGATGGGCTATGCAGATAGCTGCTCACCATAAGGTCAGTGGTTTGAACCCACCAGTGACTCTGTAGAAGAAAGATGAGACTACTCACATAAAGATTAGTGTCTTGGAAACCCTAAAGTACACGTAGTTTTCCTCAGTGCTGTAGGGTTGCTGTGAGACAGAATTGGCTTACTGACAATGAGTGTGGAGTTTGATTTTAATAAAACTTCATGATTTTTTGCTGTGCTGTATCTATCTCCTGAAAATCCATTCACATTTGTCTTCATTACATCATACTAGATGATTTGTAACAATCCTACTGTCTTTCCTACCTTCTATCTGCACCATCATCCTTTCTTCCGTTGTAACCTGCTTAGATGCTTTGAATTGTTGGCTCAAAATCCTCCTGTTAATTTAGATAGCAGAAGAGAACAAACTCATTTGCCCTGGGGATCTACAAGCTCAGCAAACCGTATTAGACATTTTTAAAAAGTCTCTTGACTGAAAAAAGCTTTCAATTTCCTTTCACTCTCCTTATATATCCATTGCTACTTAAAAAAGAAAACCCAGCAAACCAGTTTAAATTACTTATGAGAGGGAAAATATTTGAGGGCTTTCACTGTGGGAACCCTCCTTGGTGGGTATTCTTTTTCTCCTTTCCCCTCCATGAAAGCGAGAACAATAATACAATTCAGCTCTGAGTCTTAATATTCTGACCAGAACTTATCCATCTGTGGCTAAGCCAGCAAAGATGCAGTGTCGTAGATCAAACTTTCAAAGTCACATCTCAATAGAACAAGAGTTCCACTCCAACTTGAAAGGTGCTGTCCAGGGTCCTGACCAAATCATTGTTGAATCCACCATCTGTTTGTGTTTCCTAAGCCCATGATTGCTACTAAGTCTTCACTATGGCAAACAATGCTTTGTGGGATCAACTGGCTGAAATGATGGAAATACAGAAGGAATACATACAATTTAAGTTATTTTCTAAGGTAAAGGTAAAATATTCACCAAACTGTTGCAAGACTACCTCATGATGCAACAGTATAAAATATGGTAAACTTCATAGCAGCAACAAAATTAGTGGTTGAGAAATGATGGCTTTGCTAAACGTCACATTTTGAAGTCACATCTGTCACCCAAATAGCTTTAGGCTAATTTAAATTATTTTCAGTACATTGATTTCAGATTTCTTTTGGTCAGATTTACTAGAGAAGTAGTTTCTTGGGGATTACCAGAAATAAGGCTGGAAAGA